GATTTCCCCGAAAATGTTAAGGTTGTTGCTTATGCCGATGACGTTCTTGTTCTTTTAAAAGAGGATTCCTTAGAGAAGCTAGGAAGACTATTTCAACAGATTACTTTGCACTTTGAAAAATGGAGAAAGGATGAAGGTCTCCAATTCTGTTTGGAGAAAACCAACGCCTTGTTCTTCCCTAAGGGTGGCAGAAAATGCAGAGCTCCTCAGTTCAGATTTAATGGCTCAAGAATTAAATTTGTCGACACTATGAAATATTTAGGTGTTATCCTCGATCCTAGACTCACCCTTTGCCGAACATTTCAAAGCTGTGCAGAGGAGAACTAATGAAATTTTAATCTTTTACAAACATTTTCTACGTGTACTTTGAATATCAAAAGCAACACGATATGTGAAATGTATAAGAATGTCGTTATACCCATTATTATGTATGGCATAGGATCCTGGGGTTCCAGAGCAGGGGAACTCTGTAGAATACGCATGAAATTGGATACCATTTAAAGGAGCTGGTGCTTGGCCATGACGCGTAGCTTCAGGACGGTCTCCACGGAAGTTTTATGCATCCTGGCCGGCACTCCGCCTCTCTCAATTTCTTTACAGTACTTATTATGATAAGTTTCTTTTCAGAAATGGCAGCCTCGATTTTAAGCTTTATGGGGATGCTTTAATTACTAAATATGTATTTGAAAAATTTGATAGATTGCTTGTTCATCCCGCTTGTAATATTGTCTGTAATTTTTATAGAGATTTACCTATTATTGAAATGTTTGATATTTATACCGACGGCTCGGGCATCGATGGAAAAATGGGAGCGGCTTTTGTCGTGTTTTATTATGGCACCGAAATTCATCATGAATGCTACAGGATGAATTCTTACAACTCGGTGTTCCAGGCCGAATGTTGCGCTCTTGAAAAAGCCCTAATATATGTTAAATCTGAAATTCCATGTTCCTCTGTTGTTAATATATATAGTGATTGTCTCTCTCTGTTGCAAGTTTTATCCCGTCCCATTTCTACAAATTTTACCATTTTTAATATTAAGAAAATGTATGGAGATATTCTTGGAAGTGTTATAATTAAGATTGCTTTGGATTGAAAGCCTCATGCAGGATTTGCGGGCAACGAGAGAGCGGATGTGTTGGTTAAGGAGGCTGCTTTATCTGATTCTGCTGACTTTATTGAAATTCCTGGGTCGAAAAGAGTTGCCAATAGAGTTATACTGGAGGACTGCTTGAAGAAGTGGAATACCATATGGTCTGAGTCGGAGAAGCACAGAGAAAATTTACGGTTCATACGGATTAAAAGGCACATGCCACTTTACAACAATATTGACGTTAATCAATTCCTCTCTGGGCATGGAAGATTTCCAAGTTACCTGAAAAAATTCTGCTTACAAGAAACGGATCTATGCCCAAGATGTGAAGTTCCTGCTGACTCGGACCATTTTTTCTATCGATGTGAAATTTTTAAAGATTTGAGAAACTTACATGGAATCACAGATAATCACGTTCTGGATATAAGTAAACATGTTAAGTACTTGGAGGCCGTTCTGGGCTACTTAAATGCAAATAGAATTGAATGTGGAATTTTAATTTGAAATCTATTTTAACCTTTATATATATATATGGATTTTACTATGAATGATGCTTATTGAATGCTTTTAAGAAACTGATTTTATTTTTTTGGTATGTGCTTTTAGAACTTTATGGATATTTTAATGATTTTTATAATTCTTTTGACTTTGTATGGTTTTAATGATTTTATTTTGTGATTTTTATATCTGTATTTTATGCCTGATATTCTGAATGTTTTCAGAAAGTACGATTTTAACTTTTTAGTTTTTATATTATGTAATTTTGTTTTAAGCTTTGTAATTTTAATTGTGCTGTGTCACTCATGTATATTATGCTTGTACTTTGTAATATATTATGTGTCTAAAAGAACAAGGCATATGTTCTAAGAATTCTTTGTTTGTAAACCCGAAAGAGTTTTGATTTTTGTGTTGTTTCGTTTATTCACACACTTATACACTGATAGGATATTAGTGAGGGCATTCTCTATATTTAATTTTGCCAAAGATAGCTCATGGAGTATAAAACCAATGTTTAGTTAAATGCTTTGAATATATTCATCATTTCTGAGGAGATTTATGCTTAATCGTTTATATTACAACTTTAATGCTTAAATTTTGTACTTTGAATTTATAAGTAATCTGTACAGTACCACTGAGAACTAGAGTCTCAGTGGTCAAATCGGAAATGATCTCTCTGCTGGTTCAACTTGGTATTAGGTTAGTTCTGACTTTGTTTGGGAATTCATCGCGGACGTTTATTCCTGGCCCTTCCCGATGTTTTATTTACTAGAGAATGCGATTTATTTGTTTTACGTTTGTGTGGTTTTGTGTGGATGTTTGTTGTAAGTTTGATGTTGGCTTTTTCCTTTCCTTCTCTTTTCAGTTTATTATACTAACAACATTATTTTGATTTAGATTTCTTCTGTTTCTCTCTCTTTCCTTTTGATTGTATGTTTTATCAGCTTTGTGGCCATGCAAGGCTTGTATTTTTACGTTTGCTTTTGTTTCTTTATTCTAACGTTTTATTTACCGAGCTCATTCCTTGGTTTCTCGTGGCTAATATTAATATCTTTGCTTGGAGATCATGGCCGGGCCGCTGGTCGCCGTCGCTTGTGGATAGATGGAGGAAGCTCCTATAACCATATGGCAGCAATGTGAGGCGGGTGGACTTCTCTTCCTTTTCTTACCGTAGGTGTGCATCTCCTATTTTGGTTGCAATCGGACACACCAAAAGTCTATAAATATATATTTATATATGTCCAATCTGTCACTTGGCTCAAATGAGCTCAGTTTCTTTATTCTTATATATTTGTAAATTGTGCATTTTTTGCTTTAAAAATGATTGAATTATTTTGTTCTTAATCTTCCGGTTTAAGATTTTTATGCCTTTAGTTAACCTGCATGCAATAATTGTGGAATTATCAATATTTTAAAAGTTTTTTAAGTGCGGCTAAGTCTAATTTTTGATTACGATAACAGCCATGTCTGTTTACATTTGAAACGTAGCAGAATAGTCCATTTGTTGCCAATCTAGAGAAACTAAGCTTCACAACAGCAAACATAACGCCATCATCTATTAATGGGAATTAAATTATGTTTAATTCATTTTGGAATTATCATTTAAGTTGTTTTTGCATACAAACTGTAATTTTAATTGTAAAAATTGTTTTTATTTAATTGTTTTATCTGTACTTGGTGTTTTATGTTTTTTATATTTTTGAATTTTTAATAAAAATATTTTGAGTTTTTATGTACTTTTGCCTTGATGCGAAGTGAGAACTCAATTAATTAGTAGCGCATGCGCATTAGATAAGCGGCGCTGAATCGTCGGTGAAAAACTGCTTCGTTTTTCTTTGTTTAATTTCTTTTATACATCGTTTCAGATTTATTATAGTATTTGAATACAGTAGATTTAATTCAAAATTTCTTACCTGTTAATTCAATATGTTTGAATGAAATGTGAGAAAATTGCGTACAATTTAATTCTTATATTAATACTTATTCTTATATGTTTGTAAGCTATGCAATTTTTGCCTTAAAAATGACTGGATTATGTTATTCTTATCTTTAGGTTAAGGGTTTAAGCCTTTAGTTAACCTGCATATTATAGTTGTATAATTATCAACAATTTAAAAATTGTTTAAGTGAGTCGAAGCCAATTTTTTTACCATAGCAGCCATATTTGTTTACATTTAAAACTTTGCAGATTAGTGGATTTGTTGCCAATCTAGTGAAACTAAGTTTCACAAGCGCAAAGTAATGTCTTCTTTTATTATTGCAAAATTAAATTATGCTTAATCCATTCTGGTATTATCATTTAAGTTATTAAATTACCCCACATATTCACTCAGCATAGCTTCCAAAACAATTAAATCAGTTTCTATGCCTTCAGTGTCTTTTTGCCGAGTCAAGCCAAAAGTAAACACAGTTTTTGCACCGAAAAATCTGTTTTCTTACCCGCTGGCCGAATTGCTTGTTTTTGCGTAAATGTAGTTGTAAAAAAACATTTTAAGTGTTTTTAACTGTGTTTTCTGTTTTTCTATATCCTTAAATTTTCAATGAAGATATTTTGTGTTTTTATTACTTTTGCATCGCGAAGAACATGTGACAACGATTAAATAAATCTTCAGATGATATAATATTTTTCTGTATTCTGAGTTAAAAAGTGAATGATATGTAACGCTGTTAAGTGAACCTAGCGCCAAAGTATCTCTAGGGTAAATAAATATAGTGAATTTTAAAAAGCGCATTTGTTCTATTGTGGTTTATGTGCTATCGACGAAGTAGATATGATTCAATTCAATACGTTTTAATGAAATGCAAGGAAAATGCGTATAATTTAATATTCCGTACAAGAAAGTTATGTGGTGTACACATCAGATTTTTAAATAATACTTACAATTCCGATAAATCAACAACTCAATGTTTTTTGACTTATAAAATGATATATGTTGACAAATATTTTATTGAATTTTGTATGTTAATTTTTTTCATTTATTGCTGGAATCCGCTTAGTTTATATAAAGCACTCTGAAAGAAAACTATATGCACACACATACATACAGACACATTCCTAAACTTTCATATAGGAAAGTACATGAAATATGATTACTAAAAGCCGTAAATAAATTATTCCAAAAAATCCAAATGAGCAGAAATTTTTTAAAATATTAAAAAATATAATATCAGATATAATAAAACTTATTTATCATTAGAGAAATAAAAATTGCCTTTATATAATCTCTTACAGCAAGTATATAACAAAAAGAACAGTAAATATTAAATAAAATGATTAAAAATTTTTATATAGGTCTAAGAAACATGCGTCAGGGCTTAAAACATAATCACTCTAATTCACACGTAAATTTATTGAAATTATACTTTATATAAGTTAATTACTTTGAAAATTTAAAATAAGATAACATACCTCTAGGTGGAGACATTTTCATATCGTAACCGTAAGGGCTCAACCATTCGAATAAGAAAATAGCCAAGGCCGCACCCTGTATGCTTACAAGTAATATCATGAGCCATGATATTGTGTCAAAAGGCTCTAAATTTCAAAAACAAGAAAAAAAAATTTGTTAATATTTAATACAAATTACGAACTTTACAAAGTTTGCAATTGTAATTACCATCACACTGAATCTATAAAATTTGTTTCAGAGTTTGCTTTTTTTTAAAAAAAGGTAAAAGACAGTTTGGAATAATATCTTTAACGTTGCATATTTCAAATATCAGAAATATCAGAATAAGGTAAAATTAGTAAATCGAACAAAGTCAGAATTCACAAAAGTAAACATTTACAGGAAAATAATTAAAAATATTCCCACAGGTAATATGTAAAATTTACAAAAGCACAATTTAGACTAATGAAGTTGAACTTTCAAAAATATCTTTTGACAAGTATTTTCAAGTATTTAATTTCAATAAAACTCTGAATACGTCGTGAAAACATTTGATAGCATTTCGCTAAAGCTGCAGCAAATACACCAAATATGTTTGGATATGATATTTGTAGTATTAGTCTTTAAGATATGTTTGCCTTTACTCCTGATATTTTTGTATTATATTATGATATGCAAGTATAAATCAGCCAAAATGTAAATGAAAGTTGATTTGCTTGCTTGTTTATTAGGTTCTGCTTATTGAAAATTATTTTTATATTTAAATATTTGAGTGAAATATTTTATGTCGTGCTGAGTGAACTTTAAAAGGCAGTCTGAAAATAATTTGAAAAATGCTTTTGTCGTTCAACTTGTCATAGTTCATTAATTTTGTAGCCATTCTGTAGAGGTTATTTTAAGCAGGAGTTGTGAAAAATGTGCAATGCTCTCGCCACGACTTGAATCTCGACCTCTTGAATACTCGCCGATTATACTATCGTTACACCCCAAAGGCATGCAGAAAGGGGGGGGAGAAAATACCTTAAATACTCTCCTTTTTTAAGAACAACTGGGGATTAGGGTACCCAATCGTCAAACCATGGTGGTGAAGAATCATCATCCACCACCTTATTTTTTTTAGTTAGGGAGCCATTGAAGAAATATCAAATTATTTTAGAAGCAGTGCACATTAAAAATAAGCAATGCCCTCACCGGACTCGAGCCTGGATCTTCCGAATATACGCCGAGTGTGCTATCGAAGGCATGCAGAAAGCTACAGAATGCCTTCGTGCTACATCACGAAGGCATGCAGAAAGGAGGGAGAAAAACTGATTTCTGACAAAATTTTTTATGACAAAAAGAAAGAAATAATAGTACCTCTTCTATTGTTAAACAATTTCCCTGTCCTCCATGACTTACCTACTAAAAAAAAAAAAAAAAAATTGCCCTAAAAGTTTAAAAGTTTCTTCGATTCTTCGAATTTACTCGAGGCCAAAAGTTTGAAAAGGAGTTTGTTTGCTTTATTTAATCATTTGAATCTCAGCTCTCACTATCAAAATTTTCGCATTTGTCCCACTAAAACTGATTATTTTTCTTTCGTTTTTATACCGTAGTCTGTTTGCTGAATACATGGCATTGTACATTTGTTGTATTTATGGGAGGAATTACTTGCGTCGAATTTATTTACCTCTGATACGGGTATAAAGATATTCTTTTTATATCTGTTAAGGTTCTTTAGTAGTTAATAAGGACAAATAAATGTTACGCTTCAGTTGTTAATAAAGTGAGTTAAATTCCGACACGCATTCTCGGTACGAAATAAAGAAATATACAAATCATTCATATACATTTATGGCTTCAATTTTCCAAAAATTCATAAGTTCTAACATTCGAATGAATAGAAACATGTTTAGAAAATAGGTTTGAATTGAATCGCGCGCAAAGGATGTCTTCCTATTCCACCAACTCAATACGACAAACTTTTGCGGCTTTCCATAGAAAGTTAATCAACCGAATTTATTCACCTAGAAACGCTTTCGGTGATATGATTCCCGTCCTCTTCGCGACAACAATGGCAATCCCGGTTTCCAAGAAAGGAACCGTGAAATCCACCACCTGTTGACGGTCGGAATTGATTTTGATCGAAGTGACTACGATGTCTGCTTTGTGATTCAGTAGGTCGGCTATGAGACCGTTCCATGTGCCATTTGCCTGTAGAAGAGAAAATTTAGTTAGTGATGAAGAGAATAAATTTAAAGGTTTACAGTGTTAATGATAGTTCAATTTTTTCTTTTACAGAAAACGTCATTTACTGAGTTTGAGATATTAAAAAAGTACACAGTTTGATTTTAACCCTTTGAAAAGGATCAGAACATACAAAGAAAGACTAAGACTAATTAGGAAATAAACTATTTTTATTCATAATTATTTATTCTAAAGATATATGAGATGAGCATTTTTTAGAAATCGTGTTATTTTCTTCAAAACGGTTTTGTGAATATTAATTTGCAAATTAATAACACCATGAATTGTTTCAATCAAAATCGGGCACTGTCATAAGTCTTCATCCAATAATAATTACATTCTTATACGCAAAACTGGTTTAATGAAGCATTCTGCACATGCCCACTTCCATATTTGATACAGCACTCCGCAAATTTCAACACCGAGAAGGGAGACATTGATGAATTATGGAATTTAGTAACTTGTTTTCACTAATGGAACCATATAACAACTATCAACAAATCATCTTCCTTCTCCTCGCTTTCAATACTCCCACCACCCTGCCTCCGACGCTCCAGCATAAGGAATATAAGAAATATCATTGAAATGAATTCTGAGTCTCCTAATTGAGTCACCTTTTTATGTTATTGATTTTGAACTACAGTTTTTATGAATGTAACTAAATATATATATAAACGGCATGTCATGTGTTTTGTAAAGGGGGCTAGATAAAAGAAAAAGGTTAACTTTTGAACGGGTAACATATTAGTAATATTAACATGCTACAGCAGCGTTTCGCAAATGGCTTTCCATGTAGGCTTAGAGTTTTATGAATTGAAATTAAAGGTTTCGAAGAAAACTAAACAATTTGAGAAGTTACAAATGCTGAATAAAATATTTTCATCAGTATGCACAGGAAGGCAAAGGTTCGTTAAAATTTTAAAAATATCTAAAAAAGGAAGAAATTGTAACAAAGAAGAGCGGCTTGCAGGAAAGAGCTCACAAGCAAGTCGTAATTTTTAGCAGGAAAAAAAAGTTAAAAATGACACCGGTAGAGGGCTCCGGCATGACAGAGATTCAGCAGAATTATGCAAATTAATATTTCAGTAGGAAACCCTGATACACGATGATTTCTCATTCGCTTTCAGATCGTTATCGTCACGCGAGCAAGCATTTTTGGTGAAGCAATTTTGTTTGAATGGAGAATCAGCAACTGCTGGGTTGGCAAAATTTCGCACGGCGAAACGATTGAAGACAAAAGACACCCACATATCGTGTTTTGGAATACGTAAACATGTCAAGCAGTTCGAAGAAACTAGGTTTTCGGAGATTAGTCTACGAAGTGGAAGACCGTCGTTGGCCGAAGGGGTGGATACTGCGGTGGAAACAACTATGAACGATATGGCTGCGGAACCGTCCACGGGGAGTTACAGCGTTCTCAAAGCTGGAGGGATATTGGATGTGCCTCAAGCATTGATTCGACGTCTCCTCCACAGGTTATTGCATCTCTATCCCTACAAATTGCAGTCACTGTATGAGTTCAAACCGGGAGCCACAGCTAGGACAGAATCATTTGCCGACTAGGCTATGCAAGAATTGAAAGCGACCCTCTGTGGCTGTTCCACATTTTCTGGACGGATGAGGCGCACTTCACATTACACGCAGATATCAACACTCAGAACACTCGTATATGGGTGACATTGAATTTGGCTGGATTTGGCTCGTATTGGCTGGATGCACGAGGAGTTCAGTGCATCCAGCCAAGTTGAAAGTCTGGTGTGGCTTCACCTCACCATTCATTGTCGGACCATTCTTCTTTGAAAAACCGTTTACAATATCTGGCTGGAAAACATTCGCAGTAACTGAGCATTTTTTCACTCTTTTGAGTGATAAAGTCGTGCGTGCATTAAATTAAATAGGTGTGTTATCTGTAATAAGCTTTATGCAGGATGGCGCACCTCCACACCATGCCTATCCAGTAAAACGATTCCTATTGAGTACCTCTGATGAAGACAGAGTGCTCACTCGAGGTTACAAAATCGCATGGCCTCCATGATCACCCGACTTCACTCCGGTCGACTTCTGGTGGTGGAGCTATTTGAAATCATTTATGAACCGTTCATCCCCTTCAACATTTGCCGAACCCAAATATTCTGTCTGTCGTGAGATTCCTGCAACTCATTCTGACATGTTATATTCAACTGTAGCAGTTGCTGTGAGTCGCCTTAGTTGTGTTGTTGTACAATGTTCTGGAAGTCGTGCTAAACAATTGTTATTGCAAGAATAAATTAATGGAGCGTACTGCTGTCCTGTTCATTGTGTTTCGGGTCTTCAGCGTTCTCTACCGGTGACATTTGTTAACTAAAAAATGTTTTACTGCTAAAAAACATTCGACTCCATTGTGAACCCTTTCGGGCAAACTAATTTTTTTATCATCATTTCTTTCTTTATTATGAATTTTAAAAGTTTTAACGAACTTTTGGCTCACCGTGTATATCATGAAAATTATTATATGCTTATATAATATATAAACATTTATCTATACATTTAAACATCAAAAATATTTATTTCATAGGAAATATCTTAATGAAGTGGCATTTACTGCGTAGCTTGTATATTAATTGCCTCGTAAAACGTTACGAATACGTTCGCGTAGGAAGTCGATACATGATTTTCTAATATATTACCACATTTTGAAGTTGTCTTCAAGAAATGGGCATAATTTCTCCGATTAAAACAGTTTGTGCTTTCATTGTGATCTTTAAATGAAAATGTGTCTTGTTTAAAAAATAATATATATCTCTTAATCATTTCATGATTTTTCTATTTAATAATCGTTAACATTATTCTTTAAAACAACCATTTTTTCCCTTATTTGAAATTTAATCATTGTGCTTCGAATTGCTTTCAATTTTGTTACTGCAGAGGAATCGGAATGGGATTTTACATTTTTTGTTTTCAAGCGAATCATGCGGCTTTATAAAAATTGCTAATATCTCAGATAAAAAAAAACTGTTCCTCATTCCTTTATCTATTTCAAAAAGAGCATAAGGCCGAAAAATACTGTATTTCTCTGTTTTACATGCAGTTCACCGTTTTGAGTTTGAGGAATACTCTACTTTGAAGTTGCAGGTATTTTTTTACTCTAATACCTCTAAATGTAAGTTCTTGCTTCTCTTGGAAGCTTAATAACTATCGAGAACACAGCATTGTGAACTCAACAGCCAATCACTTATGTAAATCTGTCATTTGGACTATTTGTCAATACTCCACGCCAGAGCCAAGGCTCAGTTGATATAGCTAATCAAGATGTTGAAAATATGATTACAGTGTAGATATCCGATAATACCAACGTAATAAATAAGCGTAACTTATACGCTAATAAATAAATCTTAAGATATTCAGAAGGTCTACCATTTACAAAGTTATAAAAAACTGTGCGTTTTATTCAGGCCTAAAGCAAGCTCTATGTAAATCTATATTTGGCATAGAGCCTACGGTTGGGTGAACTACATAGGTTTTGCCTATTGACGTTATTTCTTTTTTAGAGAGGGCAGAAGATTTGATAAATGTTATTCGTGACGTTAAAATTAACAAGCAGAAACTGATGAAGAAGATTCATACATAGAGCGTGATAGTCAAGGAAAAGAACCACCTTAAGTAATAGAATGATAGTAATGAAGTAATAGAACAAGGATTTAAATATAGTGTTATCTTAGATGCTAGCTTTAACTGAGAATATTACTTTAATTGTATAACTGAGGTTTACATTACAGCAACACGGTCTAAGGCAAGCCAATCCCTAATTCAAAAAGCTAAAAAGCTGAAACATTTCAAGGATAAAACTCACGCACTCTCCTGCTAATGTCGGCGGAAATGTTGCAGCATCTATTCCCGACGTGGATGAAGCTAAAGGTGCATTCATAAATATAATAATTGTCCTTTTATTAAATGGCAGCAGTACCGTTTAGGTATAAAAGATGCTGTTATAAATCATCTATACAGGAGATCTGAATTTAATATTTTTAAGCAAACATTTAACGATATCGCTATAATAAAGAAGGATAAGTAAACATCTTTACGTCATTTGGCTTTGTCTGTATGAGGGTCCAGCCAAAGATTTTCCATCTGTAAGCGCATAAGAAAGTTTTTCACTAATTTTTGCAGGTGTAAAAAAATAAAGTGTTCTACAATTCAAAATGCTACAATAATGGTCCATATTATAATAAATAAGTCAACTTATTTCGTAGCCTGATAAAAACAAGTTGTATTTTATGCTATACGTAGAAAGCAGTTTCATAGAATTAAGTTACAAAGCTTTTATTAAATGAGTAATAACAACGGGGTCTAATTAAAAGTTGCAAAAAATCTTATTTCATTCATTCTTTCTCAACTACCGTAGCAATAACCAGTAAGAAGGCGGAGTAACGGATGTTCATAGGTACTTCGCATTTTTACCAGCAATTATGCATCAAAACGGATTTTGTTATTTATTTATACGTTATTTTATTTATATAACTGTGAATATAGAGTAGCTTTCATCATATCGTTGTTGCTTTTGTTATGCAAATGACGTTATTTTATTTATTGATTTATTCGTTTGTGTTATTAATTACAAAGAGGCCACTTTGTTTGACATTATTTTCCTTAAAGCACGTTAATAAATAATATTTCTTTGCTTTACGCGCTTTCAGCTGTATTGCTGAAAGTGACGTAGTATTGCATTAAATCTTCTATTTCTGAAAAACGGGAAAAGCTTGTGTATATTATAAGAAACTAAATTAACTTATCAGGAAAGTAGTTTTATGTGCTCTCTCATACTCTCTAAATGAATTTTCGTTACATTCTTTCAGAAAAAAAAATAACAAATAGAACAAAAGAATAGCTACAATATTTTAAGAGAAGAATAAATGTTAAATACTATATCTTACTGCTAGAGGCCTGAAATTTTTACTTAAAGTTAAATACCATAATTAAGATATTTTAAAGTCATATACTTTGTTTACACACATGTATTTAGGCATTGATTTATATGAATTTCGATAGAGAATCAACAAAATTTCTTTGAAGGGGGCATTATTTGAGGAGGCATTGTATAATATCAAGGGTTATTAATTAAATGTTACTTACATTAACTACACCCCATGCACCATCTTCTACTTGGTACAAATCGTAAGTGAATTTAAGATCTTGAGAAAATTTTTGAAGTAAGTCGATGCAAAACCCAGAACAGCATTTATAATATTCAGGATTTTTGATTGCCAGGGAATGATTCAACCTGAAAAAGGCATCGCAAAATAAATAAATAATTAAAAAAAAGAAAGAAAGAATACGAAAAATGGAAAAGTTTCAGATTTCAAATTATGTCCAAAGGGGCGTTTTTTGCGTTTTGTGTATTACCTTCATTTGTTAAATATCATGTTCTACGTACTCAAACTATAAAATTCAGTTCAACAGCAATATTGCAAATTAATTTTAAAATGAGCATATCTTTAGAATTTTCGATACAGAGGCTCGCGCGCTGGAGATAATTTTTTTATTACTATGTTGACATTGATTGCTTTGAAATCGTTTAGATTTGAATCAAAAATTCGTTGAAGTGTCACTAAATCTGAAATTGATAATAAAACAAATTTCAAATTCAAATTAGGGCTTCCACAGAAACATATTCTATGGAAGATTACGCTATTCAAATTTTGATGGCTCTAGGTACGGTTATTTTATCACAATACGAGAAATATATATACATTTATGCAGATTCTTCATTATTAAATTTCTCTAAAAATAAGACAGGGGGATAATATATGGTGGCAACGATTTGAAAAGTAATACAGCCTTTTAAAGATTTCAACCCAAAATGCCAAAACGAAATTAATAGTTCTTCAGGCCAAATTGCCCCTTTGGACTAAAAATCTGAAAGCTTTCAGATTTTATAATACACACAAAAGGGCGTTTTATTCAAGTTTTGCGCGTTACCATTATTTATTAAATATCATGTTCTTATCACTTAAACCATAAAATTAAATTCTACAGCAATGTCACAAAATATTTAAAAGAACATATCCTTAGAATTTCCGACGCACAGTCTCGCGCTGGAGATAAAATGTTTCCCCGGACAGTGTTGCCATTACTCGCTTTGAAATCGTTGAATTTCTTAAACAAAAACTCATAAATACTTTACAAATTAGGAAATAAATAATAAAAAAAATTATAAATACTAAATTTGGGCTTCCAGATGCCTATATTGGGGGGAGGGGGACGTACGTTATTCACAATTTCATGGCTTTAGGTACCCTTGTTTTGTCACAATGCGAGAAACATATATACATTTATGCAGATTCTCCATTATTTAATCTTCTTAAATATTCTCTAATTTTTGGTGGCAACAATTTAAAAAGTGATTCGTCGTTTATACTGAATCAACGCAAAATGCCAAAATGAAATTAATAGCCTGTCTGGGTAAATTGCCCCTTTGGGCTAGTAAAAAGCGATGTAAAGTTATTCATTAAAGTACAATTTATTTTCTAGCTTAAAAATTTAATTCCTCATTTTTGTTATTTGTGAGAATAATCTGAAGTCTCTCTAAAATCAACAAAAGTCTGCTTGAAGCTGAAAATTAGATTTCCTTGTGTATTTTACAGATTTCGCACAATTCGGCTAAAATATTTTCGTTTTTGTTTTCCTCAACTGATTATATTATGATATCCTTCAACTAGAAATTTTAACCCTGAGCAAATCTATTTTTCCTCTGAAGAAGGAAGTTCATCTTGTAACATTCCAAATGTGCTAGGCTTCGTTTTAAAGTTAAAAATCAAATGCCATTTGATTTTGCATGGATCAAACATTGAATTAGTAATGAACAGCTTTCATCTATTTATTTTTAAAAACTTTTGATTGGAAAATCACTTTTAAAACTTAATCTTTGCTAATCATTAATTATACTTTAATTAGAATATAGAATTATTTTTAACAAAAACAAACTTCTCATGTTCTTAATACAATCAAAGATTTTTGGAATGCATTTCTAGCACATCGGAGTCCCTACGTTTAAGCATACGTTTGTAATTTTGAGGGAAATATGAAATAAAATTCTCTTATTTTGTGATCCAGATTTAAAGGTCTAGATATTCTTTTCGTTTTATATTAGTCAAAGTCGGAAATCGGAATTCGCACAAGTAAGATATGAAAAATTGTAATACATTTAAACTTTAATTTGACCTTGGTTCGAATCCAGGGAAAAGGGCTGGCTGCATGAAAGATTTTCGTTGTTTATCTCCTTGTGTAACGTGAATATATGCCGGTTTTCTTAGAACGTCTTCCACGAAGGCAATATTTCTCTTAGAAGATAGCTTCTGTTCTTTGCCATATCCAAATAATGAGACGCAGACGTTTGTAATATGTTTCCCGGGTGTGCAGATGCAATATTTGTTCATCTCCTGTGAGGCGTCTTGGGTGACGTTTTTGGTGATGTCAGGATAAAATGAATGACTAAGTTGTCCATCATTCGTGGATATAGTCGTGAAATCTTTAACTAGACATGTAGAGACATTACATTTCTTTTGGAACCAAGAGAATTAAAAAATTAGCAACGCCTTCGCCAGGAATCGAACCGCGGATCTCTGGAATAAGCGCCCAGCGTGCAGACCACCCCACCACTCAAGCATGCCAAGAAGGTGAGAGAAATTCCTTATATATTCCCCCTTTTGAAGGGCGACTGGGGTTATTAGGGGACCGAATCGCCAAATCCTAGGTGGGGAGACTCTTCATTCACCACCCTTTTAGTTTGGGCGCCACTGTAGAGACATTAGGTATTTTTTTGGAAGCAAAAGAATTGAAAAATTAGCAACGTCTCCGCCGAGAATCGAACCACGGACCTCTGGAATACGCGCACAGCGTGCAGACCATCACACCACAAAGGCATGCCAAGAATGGGGGAGAAAATCCTTATAGACATCATTCGTGAAGTCTTTATTTTGAAAAACGAAAATTTTGCTTTTCGTAATTCTTCTGAATTTCATCAGTTTTTTTTTACTTTTTAATCCAAAGAATTTTTTTATATAAGTGAGAATAAAATAACATTCAATGCATTACTTAATAATATTCATTTTTTGGGAGGACAATAATTAGCTCTCGATGACACAGTGTGAAACACCTTCTCATAATACTTGGCCATCTTAGGGAAAGTTTGTGGTAATGATGTATTGTGTAAACATTTTCCGTAAGCATTGTTATAAAAAAAAGGTTGTGATAAATGTATTATTATATCGTTATATGAACCATTAACGCGTGTTTTCTTAACTGGAACCATCTGAAACATATCTCACTAAATTATTTTTAAAATAATTGCTTTAATTAAAAGAAATTTTAAAAAGGAAATGCAATACGCATTACTCACATTGAATGGAAATAACCCCAGAATCCCCATAATACCTTCTAATATACATAATACTGTCTACTTCATACTGTTTATTCAAATCTGAGGATATATTGAATAAAAGTAACTAATCATCTATAGTATCTAACTTTTATCATATTGTTAAAAATTCTTCACAATTTCAGTAAGTGTTTTACGTCATTTTTTAATGGAATAGGGAACCCAGTCCCATAGCCGGAAATATGATCCTCAAAACTACAAAAAAAGCCGACTTTCACGTTTTCCGCTAGCACAGAATGTACTAAACCTTGAAAAACATATATTTAATAATAATTGCTTTGACTGATATCCTTAAAATCCTCTCTCGCTGGTATCATTAATCATAGCCTGCTCAAACGTGTTCGAGAAAATTAATTCACGGAACATACCGGAAAACTGCCAAATATATCCCAATGCATTATGAAATGCATCTGGAAATACAGTGTAGTAGTCATCAGTCATACGACAATGAGCAAGCTTGGGATTGACTTTAAAGGATTTTTGAGAATACTTAACTAGTTTTAAGATATATTTTTTTTGAAACATACATATCTTCTACGTCTAGAGAAATTGCTTTAATGGCAACTATAGATGCTTATGTGTAAAAGTACTGATTTTGCGTTTGGTATGGAGTACGGCATAAATGCACTCGCTGAATAAAGTCGAAAATGGATAAAGATGCTCAAAATAAAATACATCCTCAATAGACTGTTAGAAAATCATTATACGAGGCAAAATTATTTTTTTGAAAATTTTCATTACACGTTTCTGTGAAGGTATTTATTTTATTATTAATTGGAAAATATTTTGTTTTATATAAACTATGCAATGTTTCAGTACTACATAACTTGATATAAAAGTTGTTTTCATTTATTTCATGATGAAAAGCACTCGAGGGCTATCTGCCTAAGGGGAGGGATACTTTCGTGGTGGATATTATAAGGAAAACTGGCTCGTATACACCTTACGTATGGGGAAAACCAAGAAAACGCTTTATATAAAGAAGTCATTGACCATCAATGCATGTATCTTTCGGGGTACCAAAAGTATATAAAACTAATTGTGTTACTTAACATATTAATAAATTAAAAGTACATACGAGTAGTATTTTAAAATCACTCATAAAGGATACGAATAATTTGAAAACAAACAGAGAACTGAAAAACTTAGCGTTGTGAAGAAAATGTTATTTTTCTTAATTAAAATATTATAACAACTTTTGAATATTGTGAACATTCCATATCTGTAAAAATATAATACATTTCGTATAATATGGAATTATTCTCTAAGCTAATAGAAGCGATATGAAAAGCAAGCTTTATATCCTTGAGAATGTAGATTAAGATAATCTACTTACATTAAAAAATTACTTATGAAGGTAAACAATACGTAGCAATGATTTAAAATAAGACACAAAGCTTATAATTCGAGACACAAAATATGTGGTAATTCCTCCCTTATTTTCAAAAGGAATGGGAAATTCATTTGGAAAATAATATATATATATATAGAGAGAGAGAGAGAGAGAGAGAGATTGAGAGCTTAAATGAATAATTTAGTGGAAGTGTTTGTTTCTGAAAATACTCTTACTATATACAGAAAGAGTACCACAAAAGACACACACATAATTCCTTTATATATGTGTGTATATTTTGTCGTGTTCTGCTGTGTAATTGAACTTGTGATTATATGTTTTGTGCCTACATTTTTATTTCTTATATATATGTTTTAATTGTGAGTACATTTTGGTACATGAAATGTAACAACTCAATTAGAACGTAATATATGGGTAAAAACACTCTCGGTGGTTTTTTTCGACAAAATATGAAGCCAGCCTGGCTGTACGTGCCGTTTTGCCGACAATA